CCTTTAATAACACATTTCCTGTAGTTCTTATTCCAGGGTTCTTACGGTCATTAAAAACCTGGAAAAGTCATGGAAATTCAAAACGCTAATTCCATTTCCTTGAACCCGGCAGAGGAGGAAGAAAAGCTCATTATCCTTATCGCTTGTCAGAGAGGCGAGATATCGATATTATGCATATTTTTTCTCGGGAAATTAGCTAAATCCTTTCTTTCTTTTCCTTTCCCCGTTTGCATTTTGTGTGTCCATTTTCATTTTTCACACTTTTAAATGCATAAGGCTACTATTTCAATTTGTCTTCTGACTTTATCAATGTACTTTATATTTTCAGCCTTTTCATTCATTTCTGAGAAAGCTGACAGTTAATTGAACAGATGGAGGATAATCACATCTGCCTGTTGATAACTCTCCCTGGAGACCGGCCTCTCCCTGTGGGAAGGAACAGCCCAGTTTTTATGTCCTCCAGCAACACACAAAATAAAATGTGATGGGAGTGGGGCAAGATAGGAAAACAGTTTATCAAGCCACAAAGCAAAAGACATTGCAACATTCAGTAATTATGGATGACATTGATTAGCACTTAGACTAATCATTGCAACCACCAAGGGCAATTTCCTCATTTTAACTGAAAACCTTTCTCTTACGTAAGGAACGTTATTTCCCCATGAGTTGAGCTGAGTTCAATTTTTTTTTTTTTCCTAGATGAATGAGAGACCACATATTCCTGAATGAGGAATAGTTTTTCCATAGAGGTCACAGTGTTGTTCCCGCAGTGAGCCTGGAGCTGTTGCAGTGTCTTGCTCAAGGGCACTTTAGAAGGTTGCCGGGTTACTTTAGCCAATTTTTTGGACAGTTTCCCAACTCACTACTACACCAACCTGCAAAGAGGCAATGTCATGGTCACTGGAGTCAAATTGTCCATGCCTGCTGTAAACAAAATGCAAATAAATCTTATGTGGATGCAATCAGGAAATGAGACTTAAATTGATGCAAGAATGGAGAGCACTAACAGAGGGTCAATCATGAAAATAATAACACTTCGACCGCCATGATTTAAGCCTCCTTCCTGTTCTGTATTGAGCAGCTGATCAGAGCTGACGTTTTAGCAAATTGTGATTTAAAGTTTAAAAACACCAACTTCTAATCTAAATACCAAGCGTTGATTAATGTGATGTTACAAACAGGCAGTTTAAAAAGTGGGAAGCCTGGTAAAATACGCACCTTTAATTGTGTATCAAATCTTGGTAATGAACGTTTTTTTCTTGTTAAATACACGGAAACTTTAGGATCCGCGACAACAACGCTGGTATAGATTACACCATGGGAAGGAAACTTCACAGATGTGTGGATGAGATTAAATTACGGCGGATGGTTGTGATACAAGAAAGGGCCCAGAAAGTAGTGCGAATAACTTTATTTGTCCTACAGAGGGACATATTTGTTACAGCAGAAAAGAGTCAATGACAGCTTAATGTTAACTAAGAAGCATGCATACACAAAATATTAAAGATACAAAAATATATAAAAATTAGTAAAATGATTACACAATTTACAAAATACATATCCTGTAACAGTTCTGAAGATATAGCAGCCAGGTATATATTGCACAGTTATTACGGCATGCATATATATATATATTTATAAAACGGACAAGTCAAATCAAGCAATCTGATTGGTTCTTAGCCGTGATATACTGAGCGTATACCACGAGTAGAATTGTAAATTACTTTTCACAACAAGTCAGTATCCCTCCGCGTCTGAGAAAAACAGTATACAGTTGAGCTGAAAAGCTTCGCGTCGGTATATGTATATATATATTGCACATATTGCACATAGTTGGTATTTAACAACAAGGGGTTTTATAGTCTGTTTTGGGAGGGAGCCCCTTCATTATAGCCCAGATTTGGTGTTGCATCTGGTTGTGATGCAATTTAGTTTTTCCAGGTAAAGGCTTTATTCATTCCATTGCACCAAAGAGCTGTCTGTCACTTTAAGTTTAGAGGTTTGTTGCCAGACAGGTTGAGGGGTGCAGCTGTAGGCTGTGGCACATTTGACTTCTTAACGACTTCATTAAATCCCACAACCTGACAGTGTTGATCCAGCAGTGCATGCACCAAAACAAACACTGCAGTGCTCGAAAAAAGACCAAATAAAACCTGATTAGTGAAACTGACACATTGTGTGACAGTTCTTCAAAAGTATTAACATTATAATTGTTGTGCCAGTCGTGCTCCAGATCTGGAATTAAACCAATCAATCTTCAACAAGCTGGCCTGAGAAAGTCAAAGCCTCTATGGTGTGAAATGTCATCTTTATGAATCTTCTCCTGCTTGTGTTAACTCAAGAAAGATATTATCATAAAAGCTACAAAACAAAGTGCTCATTGTCTGTTTTAGTTTGAGTTTGCTTTGCTAATAGAAACAGTTTTTTCTCCAACACAGTCAACACCTTAGGCTCCACACAATGCAAATGCAGCTTAAAATCAATGATGCGTGTGTAATGAATTTTCCACATTTGAAATGACTGACTGAGCAATGAGCACCATATGAATCTTTTGGGAGCAAGGCAGTGCATTTAAGTCTATTTGTGGCACACAGGTCGTTCATTTTATTTATGCGAGAAAAAAAGAAGGATAGTAAAAGAATAATTCCAGATGAGGCGGAATAACATGGAAATGGAATATTTCCTATGAAAAAAGCTGCGGTGGAGTCGCCACGACGCAGCAAAAGCCCGGTTATATCCCACAGTTGCATTAGCATTATATAAGAGATGTCAAGGCTGGCTTAGCTAACACTCCCCATGATGCTACGAGCTACTCATGCATGTTTTACATCCTGTTATGCTGCTGTGAGATTGGTCTTTGGAACCTCTGGAGGCTAAGAAGTGACTCCTCTTGCGGAGGTCGATGCCATTTGCTC